AAATCTTCCTGTTTTTTCTGTGGTTATAAAACCTGGCATCAGGCATCTTTGGCCCACCTGCCATGAGGCTTCAAACTACTGCTGTTTCAGATGGGCCTCAAGTTAGAGAAAATACAGCAGAGTTTTCACTAAGTCTGAGCTAGGATTTGGCTGTATCTGCCACTAGAATCTGATCAGACTATTCTGCAGTTTGAAATTCTGCCCTGAATTCCTGCTGCTTACAGCAATCATTTTCAAGCTTTTGCTTATTATAAGTAGTACATATGCATTACATAACATTAGAAAATACAGATAAGCAAAAATAAAAAGCCATATATTCTTACTACCCAAAGAACATCATTTTAACATCTTAATTCTTATCCTTCTGGATCAATACCTTATTGACATTCTCTTTTTGATGAATTGTCATTGTACTCTTTTAATTCTTTAAATGTGGTTTCCTTTCATTCTTCGGACATATTTATAACAGCAGCTTTGAAGTCTTTGTTAAGTCCAACATCTGCACCCCCAGAGTACTTTCCAAACTTTTTTCTTTGCATGTCTCGTGATTTTTTGTTGAAAATTGGACATTTTGGATAACACTGTAACAAGCATGGATTCTAATCCTCTCCAGGCTTCTTCTTGTTGCTATTTTGTCTTTGTTATTATTGTTCAAATGTTTATTTGTTTAGTGACTTGGCTGGATTAGTTCTGAAGTGTATTTCCTCCATAGTGTGCAGCCTCTGATGTCTCTGTGTAGATAATCTTCCCTTGTTTTCATTTTTAAGCTTGGCTTCCTGGGGGTTGCTCCTGGGTCAACATAGCTCGGTCGGCCGTTGATTGGTCAGAGACTGTGTTTAAGCATCACGAGCCAGTCAAGTTTTCATCTTTTTCCACTGAATCTGTATGATGCTTGGGGACCACTTTCAAAGTTCAGGGGGGTTACGTATCTGCCACACCTTTAGCTCAAGGACTGATAGCTTGGAAGTACCCCTCTCTGGTTACTCCTGAGAGGTCATAGCCTTGAGATTTTCCAGGGCTTCTGAACCACCACTACTGAGTGTGGTATTCGCAGGGCCCTCTTTGACTGTGTCTGGCCTCAGTTTCTCTGTTAAACTTCTGCTGGTCTGCCTCTGGTATCACTAAGCTATTAGCCTCCTTTTACTATTAATCCTTGTGTGTTTTCTGTTGTTTCTGACAATGCTCTGGGGGCATGAATGGTCTATACTGTTCCAAGTAAAGAGACCATCCTCAGGCAGGAGTTGATCAGCAAGAGTTGGGGGCATTAGGGACTCTGATCCTCCTAGGCTGCCAAGCCTGCCCTGAGTCTCCCTGTAAAGCGGGAGCCTGGGGAGCGGGGATGGGCACTACTGAACAGCTGCAACCTCCCACCTGCTAAAGCTCTTTCACGCACAGAGCTTGTGGGGAGGGGAGGACAAGTGCAGTAGTTTTCTGGGGCAGCCCCACCCACCTGAATAGATCTTCGGCAACAGGAAGGTGGGGGCGATGGGCTCGTCATTGGCTGCCAAACCTGCCCACAGTAGTTCTCACACAACAGGGAGCTAAGGATGATGGCTGCAGCTCATGGTGCAAATGCCAGTCTCCCACTGTCCTTACTGAGTGTCAGCAGACTTTGTTGAGTAAATGCTTCTCAATTTCTTGCATGCCCTTCGGTCAGTTTCCATGATTGTCTTAGATAATTTTGACCAGTTTAATCAATATTTCTTTGATGAGAGGATTCATCGAGCTCTTCACAGCACCGTTCTGGGAGTAATTTTACTTATTTGCTTAATACTTACAATATTAAGAAAATAATTGCAAAATATCAAATATAGTTTATAAACAATTAAACTAGTGAGTGTACTTTTAGACATTCCGTCATTTCTTTTGTGTCTGTCTCCTCAGACTGTCAGCTACCGAAGGGCGGGGCCTATGCCACATTCACTGTTTCCATCACGCAGGGCAGGTGGTGGGAGGTAATGGTCTTTTCAGCCTTAAAACAAAACTAAATACTATATGTGTTTTTAAACAAATGATTCCATAATTACTTCACCCAGTGGCTTACCTCCAGTGGCCAGCTTACTAGGCTCGTTTGCCAACTAGTTACAAGGCTGGCTTCCACGTGGCCTTCACAGTACACACATACACATATAAACCCACACTCAAGCACAAATTTTTCCTGACCTTTTCTCAGTTACTTTTCTTCTTTAAGAGTGCCCATATGCAAAGCTTTTTTTTTTTAACCTATTAGACTTTCAAGGCACAGTGCCTTTGGCCTATCCCCTTTTTAGGAGCCAATGAAAATGTGACCCAAAATAAATTATATATTGGCTCAAAAATACAGAAAGAAAAATGCAGAACAAAAATAAATGTGTTTAATTAAATATCTATAAAATGTAACATTAGGTCAACTTACCAACAGCAACTCAATACTTACAAGGTTACATGTAAATTATTTTTAAGGTGGCACCTGCATACATTTTAAGATATTTCACATAGTGAGAACCTCCTCAAAGGTCTTAAAAATCCTGTTCCCCATATTTCACTCATGCATAAAAAAAGAAGGTTGTGGGGATTGGAATGCAGGCCTGGCACCAGCTTGTAGGGACCTCGTGAAAGATCCCAGACACTCACAAAGAAGAGGTGGCTGCATAGTGCATTGAACAATGTTTTCCCACCCTGATTTTGGTAGAGACCATGAAACCTACCCTGTAGACTCAGGCCTTTATATCTTATCAGTTCCATTCATTCACCTGCTCACTCAACATGGATTTGCCAAACACCTACACTGTGCCTGGGGTTCTACTGGCTGAGGATACAGAGAAGAACAAGGCAACCCAGGCCCTTTCCTCATGGTGCTTATGTACTAGTTGGGGAATAACATTCTTTTGGTCACATAAATAAATGTGTTACTACAGATGGTAATATGTGGTATGTTATGAAGTACAGAGTTCTTTGGAGGTGGTGTATATAGGTATCTATTTTAGATATAGACATCAGAGAAGGCCTTCATATGGACTGATACATAAGCTGAGATATAAGGAAAGAGCTGGAGAGAAGTGGGGGAGCGTGGGTATGGGGATGAGGAATGGCAGATGCAGAAGCCCTGGGGAAGGAAAGAGATTCATGCATTTATGGAAATAAAAGGCAGCCAGTATGGCTGAAGCATTATGAGTTAGAGGAAGGTGTTGTTAAAGGGGACTGGGAGGGAAGCAGGGTCATACAGGACCCTAGGGGTCATATCAAGGGTCTCAAATTCTAATCCACCTGAAGAGTTTTGAGCACCAAGCATAACTGGACCATGTTTGATTTTTCAAAAGATCTCCATGGAAAGTAGATGGACAGGGGCGCTGAGTGGAAACACAGATGGGGAGGGGGAAGCTGGAGGTCTGCTGTAGTCCAACTAAGAGATGATGTGATTTAGATACGGGCACCTAGGGAAGACGGAGGAACGTGGATGCACTCAGTAAATACTTCAGAGGTAACAACAACAGGGCTCTGAAAAATTCAAATCTT